AGCCACAGGGCCACACAGCTGAACAAGATTACAAAGTAAGCTTTCCTAACAATCATATTTAATAACAATCTTAATGAGGATATCTTGGCTGTAAGCCCTCAGTAGGAATTGATAGGTCTAATTACTGGTCATCAAATGTCATTTTCTTGAAGCCAAGAATCACATATTCATTACTTACAAAACACTCAAACATTTTCCTACATGTGGATACTCAATGGATAACTGATGGGAATATATGTTGTACCTATTAACTAACTGTTTTTGTTTCTCTAATTTGTGTCTCTAACAAAGGAACTCTTGAACTTTTCAGACTATTAGCAACAATGTCATTAACAATGACATAGCTGTTTGTCATATTGCAGAGCTGTCATAAGAAACAAAGGCTCACAATAGATCTTAATAAGGAGGCATAATACAGTGGCACACTTATTTTTTAAGTAAAAACTTTGCTTCATCCCTGTACATATATATTTGATAAAAGTTTCTATAGTGTGTATTGCAAAATCATATTTACATTTTTAACAGAAAGTGTATATTCACAACTGTGAAAAGTTAAAGTAATAAGGAAAGCACATTAAGGCATATCTCCATGTAGCCAACCCTTTCCTGCCCCCATTAACTAAAAAACATAATACTGTGTTATGTTTCAGTGTTTCCTTGAGCAAATGCAAGCAGACATAAATAATTATTCATAAGTCTTCTATTTCCTACACCAAAGAAATTATGCACTATATGGCAATGCACTGATTTCTTCATTTAATATACCATGGAGAAGTTTCTCCTTAAAACTAGCAGTTACAACAGAGCATCTTCATGGTATTTTAGCAGCTGCATTCTTCCATTGCATGTACATGACAGAGTTTGTCTGTTTCTTGGAATTGGTTTCCTGTTAAAGAACAAGCAAACTATGTCCAGTCTTTTCAAAAATATTTATTTTTAAATTATGTTATATGTGTGTGAGTATGTACACACCTGTTAAGGTGCCAGCAGAGTTCAGAGGAAAGTATTGGATCTCCTGAACCTGGAGTTGCATGTAGTTGTGAGCCACATGATATGGGTGCTGGGAACTAAACTCCAGCCCTCTACAAGGGGACTGGAGTGATCTTAACCACTGAACCATTTCTTTACCATGTGTCCAGTTTTTTGATATTTTAGATAGTGCCACAGAAAATAATCATGAATGTGTGTCACTCTTTGCAGAAGCAGATATATCTATAAAATAATTTCAAAGGCAAATTTACATTTTCAGTTCTGAGAGTGTCTATTTGCCATTAATATAAGTTATGACATTTGCATTTCTACATGTAATATAATAGTAGTGGCTGCCCCAAACCTTATCAATAGAAAATATTATGATTTTTTAAGTGAAAATGGCTCCCATTGGCTCATAGGAAGTTGGACTTCTAGGAGGTGTGGCCTTGTTGGAGTAGGTGTGGCCTTGTTTGGCAAACTGTCTCACTGGGGGTTGGGGTTTGATATTTCAGAAGCTCAAGCCAGGTCCATTGACTCACTCACTCCTCCTGCTGCCTTCAGATCCAGATGTAGAACTTTCAGCTTAGTCTCTAACAGTATGCCTGCCTGCATGCTGTCATGCTTCCCACCATGATGATAATGAACTAAATCTCTGAACTTTAAGCTAACCTCAATTAAATGTTTTCCTTCATAAGAGTTGCCATGGTTATGATGTCTCAGCACAGCAATAAAACCCTAAGACAGAAGTTGGTACTGGAGACTGGGGTATTGCTGTGATAGGCCTGACTGAGCTTTTGTATAAAGGAATTTGCATTTTGGGACTTTGGATTAGGAAAGCAGTGGGATGCTTTAAGCAGGTCTTAATGGGCCATACTAGTAGGAGCATTGAAGGCAGTGGTGTTGAGGGTGATTTGAACCCTGCAGGCTTGGCTTATGAGGTTTCAGGGGAGAAGATTAACATGTAGCTTAGAGACGATTCTTGTGACCTTGTCCAAAAAATTCTGCCTGAGGCTAAATTTAAGGGTTATGGATTGATAGCTTTGATAGAGACGATTTCCAAACAGCCTAGTATTGACTGTTACTTGGTTATTAATGGCCACACTTATGCAGATATGAAATGAAAAGGAACATGCTGAGCAAGGAAAAATACAGTTTGAGGAGAAAAGGAACACAAGGAAAGAAGTTTAGAGAAAAGCATGATCTGCTGTGCAGTGGTGGCACACACCTTTGATTCCAGCACTTGGGAGGCAAAGGTAGGTGGAGTTCTTGAGTTCAAGGACACCTTGATCTACAGAACAAGTTCTAGGACAGTCAAGGATATACAAAGAAACCCTGTCTTGAAAAAACAAAACAAAAATACAAAATGGAGATACAAAATGGAATAAAGGATATGATGACCTCATCCAGTTAAGCTTATAATGTGTGAAAAGGAAGTAAAGAATAGCTTAGGGGCAGGCATGATGGTGCGAACCTTTAATCCCAGCACCATGAGGCAGAGGCAGGTGAATCTTTAAGCTAAAGGCCAGCCTGGACCACAAGAACAAGTTCCAGGAGAGCCAAGTTTAGGCAGTGAAGGAAACCATCAAAGACAGAAAGCCCTTAAAAACATATTTGAAGAACGGGGCCATTTTCCAGCTCCAGCAAGCAGAAGAACTTGGTAATTTCAGAAAGGTAGTTCTAGCCTTAGCATCAAGGATACAAGAAAGGTGTTATGGAATCTCCCTCCTTGACTAAAGAAGTTCACCGAGGCCAGGAGAATGCCAGGCATATGTTCTTGTATGGAAATCTAAGAGGTAATTATGTGAAGTTGTGAAGTGGAAGCCTGGAGTGCTTTAGAAACACCGAGATGTTGGAGATGCCAGAGTTGTGGGGGATACCTTCTGAAGAGAGCTGCTAACAGGGAGTGGAACCAGTCCAAGAGAAATAAGTTGTGTTTCTGTCAACAAAGCAGGATAGAGATGGAGATCTGAAGGGCTCTTTTGACATCAGACAAGGAGATGCGGTGCTTGGAGTTTGCCCAGCTGGTTTTCAGTCTTGATTTGGTCCAGTATTTCCTCACTATGTTTCCTTCCCCATGTTTTGGAATGGCAATGTATATTCTGTGCAATTGTATGTTGGAAGTATGTGGTCTGCTTTTTTACTTTGATTTTATAGGGGTTACAGTGAAGAGATTGCTGTGAGTATCGGAAGAGACTTTGAACTTGACTTTGAACTTTTAAACAGTGTGAAGACAATGGTAGACTGGGGATTTTTGAAGTTGGATTGAATGCAGTTTTGCATTATGATATAGCTACAAGCCTATGGGGGCCAGGGTTAGGGTTAGGGTGGTTTAAATAAAAAGAGCTTCCGTAGGCTCACAAGAAGTGGCACTCTTTGGAGGTGTGGCTTTGTTGGAGGAAGTATGCCATTGGGGGGGAACTTGGAGGTTTCAGAAGCTCAAGCAAGACCCTTTAACTTACTCACTTTTCCTGCTGCCTTCAGATTCAGATGTAGAACTGTCAGATCCTTCTCCAGCTCTATGTCTGCTTACATGCCACTGTGTTTCCTAGCATAATGGCAATGGTCTAAACCTCTGAACTCTAAGCCAGCCCCAATTAAATGTTTTACTTTAAAACAGTTGCTGTGACCATGGTGGCTCATCACAGCAAAATAAGACAATTGTCTCACATGTTTGGATTTTGGTCAACTCAAGAAGTGAGACATGTCGGGCGGTGGTGGCGCATGCCTTTAATCCCAGCACTCGGGAGGCAGAGGCAGGCAGATATCTGTGAGTTCGAGGCCAGGCTGGACCGACAGCCTCCAAAACAATACAGAGAAACCCTGTCTCGTAAAACAAAAAATAAAAAAATAAAAAAAGAAGTGAGACATAATATCTTACAATTTTTTATTTTTTTGTAGAATTGTACTTGAAACTATATATATATTTCTGTTTTAAAAGATATTTATGACAGTTTTCTTATGAATAATCTTTTTATCTTCCTTATGTATTTACCCATCATATCAATTTATTTTCTTTTTTTTTAAACCTCTGCAATTAGTTTATTAGTATCATCCAGGACTCATGTTCAGTATTCCTCCTCAAATTACATAAACAAAAGCAAATGTAAAGAACCCAAGTCAAAAATTATATAACAAACAGCACTCCATCACAAAAGCGTGTAAAATTACAAGAACGCTATTTTTAAAACACTGGCACTTTAAGAGAATGATAATCTCAAAAAATCACAAAATTGCCAAATTGTTCCCTAAACTGCTAAGCAGATTAAACATGACTAATGAATGAGTTTGGGTTTTATAAAGAAAAACCAAATGGATTGGACAACTAGTACTAATATGCAAAGTTTACCATCTTTCCTTGTATCTGGTTTATAAAGGGACAAATCACAATATAGGAAAATATATCCTTAATTTTAAATGTGGCATAATTTTAAGAAAAGCTGGCTCAACTAATTAAAAATACTTTTTAAACAGTCAAGTTTCCTGAGCAATCCTGTATTTAGATAAATGGGCAAAGGCATTACAGCCAGTGTTTTCATCAGCCTTCGCTAGGACCAATGTCAGCGAAGTTTAATATGGCAGTCTTGTATTTTAAGCTCACGCTTTTGGGGGATACATTCTCAGGTCTTTAATAGGGAACTGCAGAATGTAACTGCCATTACACAGTAATGGACATTAAGAAGAGTCCTCACGTAAGGATTAGAACACAATTTCCTACTAGTCCTTCAAGGACACTTCCAGATTGTTCAATTCTAATAATTCCATGGTGTGATAGAATTGATCACTCAGCTTTGCACATGGGTTATGTACTATCTCTTATCCAACTGATCACGATTTTGGAATTTCAACTATGGATGAAAATGTTACCCATCACAATATGCAGGGTGTGTAGATAAAAGCTTCCTCCCCCCCCAGCTAACTATATGAAAAGAAACACTGCAACAATTCATGTGACCCAAAATGGGCAAAAGCAAAAGACTAGCTTCCCCTTGAGAAGAAAAATTTCAGACCTATGAAAAGGACAACAATACTAATAAAAAAAATTGTATTTACTTAGAAGCATTCAGAATGTCAACAAAACAGCTGCAATTTTTTTTGCAATTACAGAGTGGTATTCAGTTAACAGAACAATTATCTTCGTATAAGCTGCATCAGAGACAACTGAAGATGGGAAAAAAAGAAAAAAAAGAAAACTACCGTCCCCATATATAACTAATTTGTGCTGTGCACCAACAAGAACCTGCTTTAAATTTCCATGCCAATTTACAACCCCCAGACTGTACCAGGCAAGATTAGTGGCTACTGAAAATACCACCAGGACAGGGCTATCTAAAGACACATTCGGTAGTGTGTTAACTATACAAAAAAAGACACTGTACAGTTTAAAAACAAATCTTACACAGCCTTACATTTCAATTTTTTTTCTTTAAAAGGAGTGAGTTGTGTACAGGGGGTTAAATGCTTTATAGACAAAAAAAAAACTGCGCTAGAACCAACTTATTCATCATCATCATCTTCTTCTTCATCTTCGTCTTCCTCTTCCTCCTCTTCCTCATCCTCTTCATCTTCCTCATCATCTTCTTCTTCCTTCTTTTTCTTGCTCTTTTCTGCCTTGACCACCCCCTTTTTCGCTGCATCGGGTTTTCCTTTAGCTCTGTAAGCAGCAATATCCTTTTCGTACTTCTCCTTCAGCTTGGCAGCCTTCTTTTCATAGGGCTGCTTGTCATCTGCAGCAGTGTTGTTCCACATCTCTCCCAGTTTCTTTGCAACATCACCAATGGACAAACCAGGGTGTTCTCCTTTGATTTTTGGGCGATACTCAGAACAGAACAAGAAGAAAGCCGAAGGAGGCCTCTTGGGTGCATTGGGGTCCTTGAACTTCTTTTTGGTCTCCCCTTTGGGGGGGATGTAGGTTTTCATTTCTCTTTCATAACGAGCCTTGTCAGCCTTTGCCATGTCTTCAAATTTCCCCTTTTCTTTAGCAGACATGGTCTTCCACCTTTCTGAGCACTTCTTCGAGAACTCTGAGAAGTTGACAGAAGCATCCGGGTGCTTCTTCTTGTGTTCCTCCCGGCAAGTTTGCACAAAGAATGCATATGAGGACATTTTGCCTCTCGGCTTCTTAGGATCTCCTTTGCCCATGTTTAGATGATTTTCGTCCGCGAGGCACAGAGTCGCCCAGTGCCCGTCCGGCTCGCGCTTGCCCCGGCGCTGTCTCTAAGGAGCTCAATGTACTGCCTCAATTTATTTTCTATAACAAATAATACAATACCACAGACTTGGTAAGTTACATCAAAAATGTTTTTATGGCTTATACTTGTGACCTAAGCATGAAGGGCTACATATGGAGATAGCTTTCCTTTTTTTTTTATTCTCCAGATTTATTTTGGTAAAAAAAATCAGATATAACCTTTCAAAAATTACATTAATGTTTAACATGCATTCAAATAACTTTCTTTTTTTTCCAGTTTAAATTTAGATAAGAAACGAGGTTGCTTCACAAGTCAGTTCCAGGTCCCGCTCCCATTCCCTCCCTTCCTCCCGTGACCTCTCCCCATCCCCCCCCCCCCCCCGTTATCCCCTCATTTCCCCAGGGAGGGTGAGGCCCTCCATGGGGGTGTCCATAGTCTGTCATTTCATATAGGCCAGGGCCTAGACCCTTCCCCAAGAGTTCAGGGTGAGAGTGGAGATAGCTTTCTTGCTGACATGGACCTAAGGAGTACAGAGCACAAATAGCAATAGTGTATGTATATGTGTCTCTTCTGGCCTTGCTTCTTCTTACAAAGCCACTAGGATTCAGCCATAGGAGTTTCACCTTACTGGACTTACCTAATAATAATCACTTTCTAAAGACCCTATATATAATCTGCATTATCAGAGTAAGTTCTAAATGCTTTTAATATCTTACAATGGTGATTAAATTTCAATATAAGAAGACTTGAAAGACAGTCAAATGCCAAGCATACCATGGCATACATGTTTCTTGAAAGGCTCCTCTGGCTTCCTTTTCTTTTCTATTTAACTTTCTCGTGAATGTAATGCTTGTTCTAGTGTATGTATACAGTGTGATGTATGGATCTTACCATACACTATTTTAGATCATGCTCTAGTAGTCTAAAGTCCTGAGCCTACCAATCAGAATGTCATTTTATCATGCATTGGCCATTTTTATCATGCCATAACGTGTACACAGTTCAATTTCTGGACTTTATATTCTCTGACCTTTGTTCCCTTTATATTTTCCAATACTTATATTTTACGTTTTAATTTTTGTAGTTCTGCTTTCCTTATGTTGTTTTAATTTGTCAGAATATCATTGGTAGTACTTACTTGTTTTTGTAATGAATGTTCCTTATAGCTCTAATTGTGATCATTTAGCCTTGGGTGTGAAGATATAAAGGAGGAGACACAATTATAAATTTCTTGTGGGGACTTCATTCTATAGATGACTTTTTTCCTTTTGTTATAAAGGAAATTAGAACTGAAACATTATGAAGTTACTTGTATTTAGATGAAGAGTTTTCTTGTGACTCTAAAACTATTTTGCAGTGGGGACCACACTTCAGCAGAAGCATGTTCTGGTGAATTAAAGTAAAATAGATGATTCCACAGCAGCCAGAGCTTTCACTTCCCAAGTCCTAATAAGATCCAAGCCAGTAAGACCTAAGTTCCAAGATTGTGTCCTAAAATATTTAAGAGAAACATTTTAGAAAATTGCTGTTTAGTTTTGATAGGTAAAATCTGAGAAAGATACCATGTCATTTGTAAGTCTCACACCTAGATGGGAATAAGTGTTTGTGCATCCCATACTGTACATTAAGTTACTCCTTTCTCAGAGAAGAAATTGATAATGCAAGCCACTAGTCACGACTGATGAGGAACCCCTTATTGTATGTCAGCTGACAAATTACATCCAGGCAGGCCTTCCTGGGGATGGACCAGAAGAGGCCATGAGAGACAGCTGATGATAGGAGGGTGCATGTAAACTAGATATTAAAAGTTCTGATAAATGAATTTGTAAAGGTAATTTCAGAGAGAGGAAACAGCACAATGACACAGGTACATTTAGGGAACTACACATAGGTTGTTAGGATGTGTGGTGGATCATTTTATGTCAGTTTGACACAAGCTAAATTTATCTAAGGGGAAGGAACCTCAATTAAGAAATATTTCCATAAGATTGGGCTATAGGCAAACCTGAAGGGCATTTTCTTAATTTATGATAGGGAAAGGCCATTGTGTATGGTGGCATCCCTGGGCTGGTGGTTCTGGGTTCTATAAGAAAGCAGCATAAATCATGAGGAGCAAGCCAGAAAGCAGCACCCCTCCACGGCCTCTCTGAATCAGCTTCTACCTCCAGTTTCCTGCCCTGATGAACAGTGTTGTGGAATTGTAAGGCAAGTAAACTCAAGTTGCTTTTGGTCATGGTGCTTCATCATTGCAATAGAAACTGTAACTAAGACAAGGTGTAGTTAAGCCCAGAAGAATGTGTATACATGGATAAACAAACAGATGCTGCAGTGCTCTCTGTACCAGCAGAGAGTCATATTTTCTAACCTTTTCTTTAGACATTACCAAATCAGTAGCCACTGAAGAATTCTTCATTTTGCCTGGTTTTTGTCATTTAAAAATATTTATTCTTTTTATTTATATGCATGTGGCAGTGCCTGTATTAGTTCATGTACATCATGTGCGTGCAGGTGCCTGGGGACGTCAGAGAGAATCAGATCCCTTGGAACTGGTGTCACAGGCGGTTGTGAGTCAGCAGATACGGGTGCTGAGAACTGAACCCTGAACCTTTGGAAGAGAAGCAAATGCTCTTATCTACTGAGCTATGTCTCTAGCCCCTTGTTTGTGGCATTAAAATAATCTTGCTTCTACATAGGGAAAAGTCAAGTAACATCAATAATCCCCTCCCCAATTCCCTCTCTCCACAAAGATCTTGTTATAGCTTCTTGTGCGCCTTTTCAGAGTTCTCTCCCCAGAAACATGTGTGCACTATGGGTGCATGTCCTTTTAAAAAGGACACTTACTATGTAGTAATGTAACCTTCCAAATTTATTTTCTAGTTAATTGCTAATCTTTGCTATAGCTGTTTAAAAGGACTCCTTTTAAAAATTGGTTATGATGGCTTTTTCTCTGCAAAATATGCTAACTATGCACCACACTGAGCTTTCAGAGCATGGTGTATGTGCTAATTTACTCAATGGTGTCTATTCAGATGTTAGGATGCAGAACTAATTTGAGGTGTGTACCAAGTTTGGACAAAAGCAACCATTTAACTTTTCATATGTAGGCCAAGCCAGATCCAAGGCTTGGCAGCCTTACATCTATAGTCTGTATAACATGCTTTATTTCCATGTGATCAAACCCACCCATGTTGACCATTTTCTCTGCCCCTACAAGGTTTTTCTATGCTAAACATTCATTTTAAAGTATCGTTTCAGGGCAAGACAGGCAAGAGCCCTTATAAAGGTGAAGAAATGCTCAGGAAGCAGAATTCACCTTTCAAGGAACTGCTAAATCTCTGCTCCTTGGGGCAACAACAATGAGCTTTATTTTTGTACACACTTGCAAATTGATTTTTATTACTTATACAAACTTGCTTTCACAGTTCAATTGATTTAGTATTCTATTTGCAAAACGTTTTGGGGGTATTTGGGGTTGGGTTACAGTGCAATACAATATTCCCTAGTTAAATTAATTTGCTCAGGCTTTCATGAAACAGCCTTTTGCAGAGTGGGAAGATTTTCAGAGACAATCTGTGTCTCTAAGGGAAGGCATAGAGGGCTGTCTAAGGTTGTGCCTTCTGGACAAGGTCAGGAGAGCACACTTCCATTTCGACTGTTCTGCTCCTGGCTTTGCAGTGTTCACTGTATGTAGCTATGGCAATGACTCTTAACAGCTCACCTCTAACTCTAGGAGGCAGATTTTGTTTTCCAAATAGACAAGGGAGGAAAACCCACAGCAGAAAGTACAGTACCAAATATCCTCATACACACATAAAGCACTTGTGCAAAAATATCTGCAAGAAAAATTTCTGGAAGTAGAATGGCTAGGTTAAAGAATGCAGGCATTTACCATGTAAAAGGCAGTGCTGAATTGTCCTTCCCAGAGGACACACCAATTTACATTGCCATTTACATTGGACAAGAATCCCCATGCCTACACCAACAGTGGGTGATCACAAACATTTTCAGACGGGAAAAGCAGCAATTCATCTGCTTTATATGCATTTCCTTAAATGTTAGTGAGGTATAAGAATGGAGGAGAGCATTTTTCATGTGCTGATACTAATATGCAATTCTTTCACTTAGAAATGCCTCTTTGTGCCCTTTGCCCATTTTTCCATTAACTTGCTAGCCCTTCTTTTATTGAATTGTAAGACTGAAGGATTTTAAATAAGGGAGGAATTCAATCGCATTTTCTTCTGCTTTATCGCCTCACATTGATACTGCAGTTTATCATTCGCTTGGCTAATGTGCTCATATTTCTGAAGAGTCCAGAATAGGTTTCTCGGAGCCTCAGTGAAGGAGAAAAGCTACTATAAAATACCAAGTTTATAGATTCTCATGGGCCATGTCTCACGTGAGGTAGGGTTTAGTCTTTGAAGTTTGAGAGTTAGGCTGAAAATAACAGTATCTTGGAGATTTGACAACAAAAAGATCAGAAAATGTATACTTCCTGAAAATGAAATAAAAATTTCATAACGAAGACCATTTCAAAAGAAGAAAATGACAGAGATATCCATTGTCTTAATTTCTCTGAGACAATGCTTTGATTTCTCTTTGAAAGTGAGAGATGTTTCTTCTTAGTTTCTTTTGAAGAAAACCCACTCACCTCTTCTTGATGAAAACCCACTCAATCCTTTTTCCACGGTGACCTTTCCATTTCCCTTCAGACAGGATCCAAACTGAGCAGGCGAGCATCACTGCTTTGAGCTGCTCTCCTGGGAGCCCTATGTGCATTCTCTAGTGTAAAGTGGCTGACTCATCTGCTGTAGATGCCACTGTGTCGTCCACCTCTCAGCCTGTGTGCCCTCCCCTTAGTGAGTCCCCCACCCGTGGCTCAGTCAGCCCCTAAGGTCAGCTGAGTCCTATTTGTCCTTGAAATATTCGTTCCTTTAGTTCCCACCGAGTCCAAGAGAGCTTGCCCTCCCTCTTGTTTAGCTTATCCTTAGGGTTTCACTAACTTCTTTGAGGAATGCCAGTTGTCCCTACACTGTATTATAA